ATTAACATACAGCATATTATTTTCTCAATTAAAATAGTAATTTGCAGAATATTTTCATAGTTTAAATAATTCAACTAGTTTTTATTTTTACATGTCCAAGATAGCGCTAGATATAAATGAGATAAATCTTAGGATGTCACAAAAGCAATCTGGGGAGTATCACTCCCCGGACTTGGTACCAAGCTGCATTTAGTGGAAGTAAAGCCTTGTTTCCTGGGTAGCCTGGGTGCTGAGATAATCCTGTAACAGTTGGGATATACGACTTCTTTGGATCTGGTTTTCAAGAATTTCATAATTTATTGCTTTTTGTGTTCTTAGATATTTATTATAAATAAGTCCAAAATGATTTTAAATTATTAAAGTATATGCCTTTGGCACCACTAGAAAAAAAATTAAAGTATAGCAGGAGGTTCCATGTGAGCCCCAAATTGGAATTCACAGACTCTACATCTTTGAAACTAGAGGGCTGCCGATCCACTAATGTTTCTTCATATCCTTTGCCCACTTTTTAATAGGGTTATTTGTTGTTGTTGTTTTGTTGTTGTTGTTGTTGTTGAGTTCCATGCAAACTCTGGATATCAGTTCCCTGTTGGATGCATAGTTTGCAAATATTTTATCTTGAGAGGATAAATTTTTGAGTCACATTAGAGAAAAGGCTTAGGACCAAAAGCTGAAGGAGTTATTTATATAGTAGATAATTCTGGTAAAGATAACAACAATAATAATGTCACATCAGCACCCAAATGACAATATGCTGCAGAGAACTGGGACAGGTTTATTCTGTACCACCACCCCATGCCCCCCACATATACATGCATATACACTGTCAAATGGCACTATGAAGGTAAATGGTGATGACTAGGGCTTAGCTATAGAGGCAGTGCACAGGCCTTCAAGAGGAAGATGTCATTGACAAACAGCATTGAATATCAATGAGGCATTACCCAGGCAGGGCTGAGAGCTTAGAAAGGGGCCAAAGTCCTATAGTCTGGCAGGAAGGGTTAAGAATCATTGGAATTTAGGCATTAATGTGACCTCATCTGTAGTCAAAGGCTAGTGGGGCCAGGTAATATTCTAGTTACAAGATACACAAAAGAAGTGAAGCATGGTTGGATATCATTCCTGAATTGTGTTACCCCAAATTAATATGCTGAAGTACTAACCCCCAATGTAATAGTATTTGGAGTTGGGGCCTTTGGGAGATAATTAGGTTTAGATGAGGTTATGAGGCTGGAATCTCTACAATGGGACCAATGCCCTTTTAAGAAGAGACACCAGAGAACTAATTCATTCTCTCCTGGTTCTCCGTCTCACTCTCTCTCTCTCTCTCTCTCTCTCTCCCCCTCTCTCTCTCCCTCTCTCCCCTACCCCCCTTCCTTTCCCTCTCTCTTCCCCTGCTTCCTTTCCCTCTCTCTCTCCCTCTCTGCCCCACGTGAGGACACACAGAGAAGGCAGCCATCCACAAGCCAGGACAGCCCTCACCAGAACCTGTCCATGCTGGAACCTTGATCTTAGACCTCCAACCTCCAGACCTATGAGAAAATAAACTTCTGTTGTTTCAACCACTCAGTCTATAGCATTTTGTTATGGCAGCCTGAGCTAAAACATTCCTATTTCAAAACTTTTATGGAATCTTAATGTATGTTTGTAAGTAGGCATTTTTGTTATAGATAAGTGTTCTGTTTCTCAGCTTTTAGAATGTATTCTATTTCACTTGCCAGTAATTGAAGGAGCAAAACAAAATATACAAATTTTTGCCACTTAAAAGGCCTATTTTTAGAGTAAAATATATTTTTCTATTTTTCAAGGATTTTTCTTTTTCAAATCCATTATAGAGAAGTTAAAGAAATAAGGCAAGCTTCTTTCCAAATAAATGACAAAGAGCTTGGTATTTCTGGTAAGTATTGCCATTTAAGAGGAGCTTGCATTTTTAGTCGACAATTTTCTCCCCTGTTCTTGTCCTTTTTGACCTTCTTGTCAAATGACAGTGAAAGGAAGGGGTGCTTTGTCTCTGCTGGAAATTCCCACTGTGAACTGGCTCTACCGACCCTATCACCAATGCACAAGACAAATGAGCCTAGGACCACTTTAGGCTTTCAACCCATCTACCTCTCAAGCCAAATCCCCAGAGTTCATTGTTCCTGGGGATTCCTTTCACCAGCCTTGCACTATCCTCCGTGAACAGCTTTCCCAAGTGCAGCAGGCTGCGTGCTCATCCTCCCTGAGAGTGCATGCTGAAGAATACAACTCACTTCCTTGGATCTCGACAGAATGTGTGCTTGAATAAACTTTTCTTTTACCACTTAAAAACACTATTAAAAGGGGCCAGGCGCGGTGGCTCACGCCTGTAATCCCAGCACTTTGGGAGGCCGAGGGGGGTGGATCACGAGGTCAAGAGATCGAGACCATCCTGGTCTACACGGTGAAACCCCGTCTCTACTAAAACTACAAAAAATTAGCTGGGCATGGTGGCGCGTGCCTGTAATCCCAGCTACTCAGGAGGCTGAGGCAGGAGAATTGCCTGAACCCAGGAGGCGGAGGTTGCGGTGAGCCGAGATTGCGCCATTGCACTCCAGCCTGGGTAACAAGAGCGAAACTCCGTCTCAAAAAACAAAACAAACAAACAAAAAAACACTATTAAAAGACTTCCATAATTTAGCCATTTGGGTTTTATGTTTGTAATATCGTATTTAGTAATTATAATACATAGTATATAGAATAAAAGTAATGTTGAGACAGATGAGTTGGTAGAATTTTTCAAGGGTTCAAATACATGCCATAAAATGTCGAGGGTGGGGCTTCCCTCTGTTGCCCAGACCAGACCGCAGTAGTGCAATCACAGCTCACTATAACCTCAAACTGCTGGGCTCAAGTAATCCTCCCACCTCAGCCTCCAGAGTAGCTAGGACGACAGGTGCATGTCACCATGCCCAGCCAATATTTTTAAATTTTTGTGCAGAAGTGATCTCTCCATATTGCCCAGGCTGGTCTCAAACTCTTGGTCTCAAGCGATCCACCAGCCTCAGCCTCCCAAAATGCTGGGATTCCTGGTGTGAGCCACCACACCTGGCCTAATTTTTAAAAAGCAAAATATATTCAGTTTTGAAGACAGCTTGATTTTTCTGTGCTTATATGTGCCATCCATCACATGTTATCGTCTCAATCCATGCACATTAGCACAATACTATGTAAAGGACCTTTGAAAAGATTTATCAAAAATACTGAATCTTCAAGCATATTTTTCTGAGAATTCACAGCTCTGAGTTAAAAGCTTTTGTTCTCTGTAAAATATATGCCTCAAACAGATAATTTCGATACCCAGTTTTAAGAGTTGGTTTAATATTTCCTTGGTAGTAAAAAAACTGAAAAACGCCAGGTGCGGTGGCCCCTGCCTGTAGCCCCAGCTACTCGGGAGGCTGAGGTTGGAGGATCCCTTGAGCCCAGGAGTTCTGGGCTGTAGTGCGCTGTGCGGATTGGGTGTCCGCACTAAGTTCAGCATCAATATAGTGACCTCCCCGGAGCGGGGGACCACCTGGTTGCCTAAGAAGGGGTGAACCGGCTCAAATCAGAAACGGAGCGGGTCAAAACTCCTGTGCTGATCAGCAGTGGGATCGTGCCTGTGAAGAGCCACTGCACTTCAGCCTGGGCAACATAGTGAGACCCCGTGTCTAAAAAATTTTTTTTTAAATGATAAATGTTAATAGGTAATCCTTAAATTGGTCACTAACCAAAATTTTACTCTATCAGTTCATGTTAAATTTTTTTAGTACTTAATTCAAACCACTTTTGTTTCTTCTAAAATTTTTTGTTTAAAACACAGAGACTTATCCCACTGTCCTGGTACTATTTATTGATCATTTGCAACACTTATTGGGATTTTTTCCCTTAAAATTTGACTAGAAGAATTGATTTCTTAATTTCACATGCACATACACAAACACATGATCTTGCTTTATGATTGTTAATGTTTTCTACACAGGGCACAATACTGGAGGCTGTAAATACTCTGTCTTCCTGAATTAGACACTTGGGCTCACATGTATGCACACAGCAAAAACCTTGAAGACTGACAAGACCACATTATAGTCTCATCTTCAGCATTTTCTCTGATACTCCATCTTGATCTCTAGGAATAATTTTTATATTGCTTCTTCCATGTGTTTACTCATGGAATCTGATCTTTGGGGCTCAAATTTTTTAGTGCAAGACAGAATAAGAATATGTTCATAGATGATGACTGAAGAAAGAATTGTACAGGATTAGACATTTCAGTACAATGGACAAGAGCACTTTATTGCCATTTTTCCCATTACCTTTATTTGTAGGTTCATGGAGTTCAGAGAGAAAGTGGGAGAGGGTTGTGGTGGTCTGTGCCATATACTGGAAGAGAAGGGGGTCTCATAAGAAAACAGGGCAGGAGTGGAATGGGCCACTGGAAAGTGATTATGAAGCCTATGAGGACAAAGAACATAAATGGAATAAGGCAATCTAGTTAGGTTTACAAACAGAAGGGGGAGACTTTGAATGTTCATCATGCATAGTTGAGGTGATACAAAAAGAATACACACATAGAGGGAAAACGAGCTGGGAATCTGCTAGGAATGAACCTGGATTAAGAGAATGGCTTCAGGAATGGAAAGAATAAGGGGAAAACTATGAGAAAAAATTGAGCAATACTTGGCAGATTATTGGATGGAGAAAACACTGCCCTGATAGGTGGTGAGCCAAAAATCATTCTGTTTTCTTGCTCTAAAACCAGTTCTCAACTTTTAGCAGGCATCAGAATCATCTGGAGGAGAAGACACTGCTAGTGGTGGACAAAAGACCACACATTGGGAACCACTGCTCTAGAAAACCATTTATCTTTGCTGATGGAGAAACCTGGCTCTAATAAAAGATAACTGAGGAGAAAAGGAATTGCTTGGCTTCAAGGCTATCCATCAAAAGATCATTGTGAGTTACACAGTATTCAGCTATGTGTCTAAAATCAGCCAAGCTCTTTTACATAAGAACTTTGTACTTTCCTGATTAATTCAGGATACATGTTAAATTCCTAAATTGATCTATATGAGGTTTCAGGTGGTTTTGTTGATGGTGGTAATGGTTTGATGTTTAAGACAGTTGCTGCTTATCTTAAGAAACCATGAACTCTCAAAACATTTCCCAAGGGAAGGGCTCCATCGAGAAGAAAGGAAGCCATTATTTCCCCTATGTCAAAATGAAATGTTCGGACCTCTGCGACCTAAATAAATGAACAGATAAAAGATAAAAGCATAGATGAGATCAGCCTTCAAATCTACAGAGGCAAAATAATAAATAAGGAGTAAATTACAATGGTAATGAGAATTTAAGAATATATATAAATTATTTTAACAGAGAAACTGTTTCTCCAGGGCCTGTAGTTCAAAATTGTGTAAGGCACTATGATCCACCCCCAAAACTGAAATATATATTCAGACCCTGAAACTGCAATGTTTAAACCAGTGGTCCTAAACCATTAGTGGGTATTAGAATTACATGGAGAGTTTAATAATAGACATAGATTTGGGGTGTCCCCCCACACATACTATGTGAATCAGTAGATCTGGGTGGACTCAAGAATTTGTAGTTCAAACAATTCTCAGATGATGCTGATGCTGTATCCTTGGGACCATACTTTAAGAATTGCTGTTGTCTATGATTCACAACTTGGCCACATACTAGAATTATCTGGGGAGCTTCCTTTTTTTCATTTCAATTCACAGGACTCACCGCAAAACAATTAAAATTACAATCTCTTGAGGTGTAAACCAAGGCATCAGTAGTTTTTGAAGTTCTCAGGTGTCTCCCACATGCAGCCAAAGCGGAGAATTTCTGCTTATGTCAGTAGTTGTCAAACTTCAGCACACATTACCTGAAGGACTATTAAAACACAGATTGCTGGGCCCCTCTCATGGAGTTTCTGCTTCTGTAAGTCTGGGTTGGGACCAAGAATTTGCATTTCAATCAAGTTCCCAGATGATGCAGTCAGTCCTGGGACCATACTTGGAGAACCACTGGGTAAGACTAACTTCAACTCTGGCTGTATTTGGAATCTACTGGAGAGCTGGCAAAAAATACTGAAGTTGGCTCCATTCTCAAAAACAAAACAAACAAAAGCAGATTGGGATATAATTAGTTTGGGTTGGGGTCTGGCATAAGTATGTTTTTAAAGCCTCCCAGGTGATTCTGATATGCAGCCAAGACCTGGAATCACTGCAAATCCAAGCAAGGTGAAGACACAGTAAATATATCACCTGTCATGTTTGCATCTCATCTGTATTTAAAATGGCCTGTTCTAACCAGAATATATTTCAACTGCTGTATGCAGTATCTTTACTGAAGAAATATACTACAGTGAAATAAATGTAAGATCATGACTGTCATTTCTGAATTTAAGAAACAGGGCCAGGCACAGTGCTCATGTCTGTAATCCCAGCTACTCAGGAAGCTGAGGTGGGAGGATTGCTTTAGTGCAAGGATTCAAGGTTATGGTGAGCTATGACTGTACCACTGTACTTTAGCCTGGGCAACATAGCAAGACCCTATCTCGGAAAGGAAAGGAAGGGAAAGGGAAAAAGGAAAAGGGAAAAGTAAGGAAAGGAAAAGACTACGTTAAGCCAGGAGGGGATTTTCCCCATCCATTTTATTGCTATAAATGCAACATACTGTCTGAATTTTTTTAATGTTACATGATAGCCCACCCCTTTGGTGATCTACAGCCAATCATGTAAACAGAAACATTATAACTATTATTATAAAAGTAGTTTCCTATAAATGAGAAATTAGGCTTATATCTAAATAAACTTGAAGCCTGATCAAACACCCTGGCTCCAAGAAAATAACCCTGGGTTTGGAGAACACAACCTAGAGTAACATTTTACTGCCACTTGGTGTTTCTGAGTATACAGGGTCATTTTTAATCACGTAGCATGGAAGTAACTTGTCTGCTACAGATAGTAAAAGCTGAAATTTGGGAGTAGAGTTGGGGTGTAGACGGGGAGAGTATCAAAAGGAGTCGGCTGTTAACTGGTGCTTTCTTGAACAGCTCTATGATATCACTTAGATACATGTTTGTAAATAATTACTTTCTACTTCAATTTTCACAGAAAATAGTGATACTATTGTGTTTTGGCAGCTGATTAAGTAAATTGCCATTCATGACCCTGCTAGACTATGCTATGCAAGTTCCACTTCTTATGCCTCAGAAATTTAGCACTGGAAAAGAGTTTAGGGCTCACCAAATCTCCTGTAGTTTAGGACTGACTTTATACCCACTAGAGCGGCCATAACCAAAAAGACACACAATAGCAAATATCAGTGGGAAGCTGGAGAAAAACTAAGCCCTAACGGTCGGGAATTTATTGCCAGTTTGGAAGCAGTTTGACAGTTTCCTGAGAAATTAAACATAAATTTACCATCAACGAGGCAATTCTGCTCCTAAGTTATCTATTTACCCAAGAGAAGTGGAAACATGCCCACACAAAGACCTGCATGTACATGTTCATAGCACCATAAGGGCCAAAAGGTGGAAACAATTCAAATGCCCATGAACTGATGAATGGATAAACAAAACGTGTTTCCACCCAGCAATAAAAAGGAAACACTATGGATACATGCTACAACCTGGATGAACCTTGAAAACATGCTTAAAGAAACCAGACGCAAAGGATGACATAGGATTCCATTTGTATGAAATGTCTAAAATAGGCAAATCTGAAAGAGACAGAAAATAGATTTGTGGTTGTTTGGAACTAGGGAATGGGAGAGGTTAGCATTATGGGGTGGATTAGTAGCTAAAGGGGATAGGTTTGGGGAATCTGAGGACGAAAATGCTCTAAAATTGACTGGTGATGGCTGCACATATCTGTAAACATCCTAAAATCCGTTGAATCATACACTTTTAAAAAATATTTTTATTGTATTTATTTATTTATTTAGATACGGAGTCTCTGTCGCCCAGGCTGGAGTGCAGTGGCGCAATCTCAGCTCACTGCGACCTCTGCCTCCAGGGTTCAAGCGGCTCTCCTGTCTCAGCCTCCCGAGTAGCTGGAATTACAGGTGCCCACCACCAGGCCCGGCTAATGTATTTTGGTAGAGACCGGGTTTCACGATGTTGGTCAGGCTGGTCTCAAACTCCTGACCTCAAGTGATCTGCCCACCTCGGCCTCCCAAAGTGCTGGGATTACAGGCGTGAGCCACCGCGCCTGGCCGAGTCATACACTTTAAATAGGTAAATTGCGTGGTATGTGAATTCTAAATAAAGCTGTTATTCTTTAAAAATAAATAAATAAATAAATAAATCATCGGAATGTAGTGCACTGGGAAACTTTAGGCGCAAATTTCCATCAGCCTACCTCTGAAACCACCGCCGCCAAGGCGACCGCTAGGCGCATGCGCTCGGGGCCGCCACCAGCCCGTTAGGGCGAGCCCAGGTCAGAAGCGTCCCCCTAGCAGCGCCCGGCTTCTGGCCCTCGCTGTCCCGCCCGTGGTCGCTGCTCTTTGGCGCCCCCGCAACAGTCCCCTCACAGCAGGACGCGGAAAGGGCAGGGTCCACTTCTCCCGTAAATACTATAAAGAAAGCGCGTTCCCCGCGGCGCCCGGACAGCCCGTAGGCACACGTCCCGCAGAGTCCCCCAGTCCCCACGGTGGGCCCGCGGGCTCCTGAGCTGTCCAGGCCCCTAAACTATCACAAGGAGGATATTTGATGACCGTCTTTCTTCCCTCGCCCTCTCCCAACAAAGGGGAACTGACCTCTCGCGTGACCTGGCAAGCGCTGAGGTTCCCTAAACACGCTTTCCCCCTATTGTGTGCAGACCCCCACAGGGCGGAGGCGAGCGGCGCGACCCACTGGACGGACGCGGCCGGGAGCCCCGGGCGCCCGGGCCTGGCGGGCCCTCCCTGGGCGGGCGGGTGGCGCGTCGCCCGCAGCCGATCCAGGCGGGGGAGGAGGGGCGCTGTAATTGCAGCGCAGCTCGGGTTCCCACGCTCCTATTGTTGGCGACTTTGTTTCCAATTCCCATCACGTGTGCTAATTAGTTAGAGCTGCTGGCTGGCTGGGAGGCGTGTGGCTGACCTAAAAGCAGAAAGATCACTTCCTGTAGGGAGCCGGGCAGGCTGAATACTACTGGGGCTTCTTCCTCTCTACTCCTCCTCTTCTGCGCCTCCTTCTTGGCCTCCCAGGAGGGTGGGAGACGGAAAGAAAGGCAAAGGGAAGAAATGCTGATTGCGGAGCAAATGCCGCTGAATTGCAATAGCAACTAAAAAGCTGGGGCTAAGGGGTGGGGTGGGAAATGGAAGAGGGGAGTAAGAGCGGGAATAGTGGAAGAAACAGGATTAAATGAGGAATTCCCATTAGATCTCTAATGCTTTACAAAATGCCTTTCACAGTTTTGATCAGTTAATCTCGTCGAGATTGGGATAATGGAGGAATTTTTTCATTTCCTCCATTTATGTGCAGTTTTTTAAAAAATCTGTCTTCACCCTCTGAATAAAGCAAGCACAAGCATCATTGTACACTAGGAAAACAAAAAAAAGGGAAGCAAGTCACGACTTTTGAGTCAGTGACTTGCCCTTGGACCTAAGCTTCTGAGTTTTATTCACTTTGGCACTATACTTTTAGAAGGGGTGCAGAGTTGTCAGAGACTAACAGAAGATGGTATTAAGTTTGAAATAAATACATAAATGGGGGCATTACAAGAAAATGGTATTTTCTATGTTTCTTGGCTTCTTGTTGGGCTGCAAGATTTAGGACCGCTCTGATTCTCCTAATGGAGGACTCTGCTTACTTTGAAGATACCGTCATATCCATACTTCCCTATAAACAAGAGGAAAGTGGGCATTTATAAGAACTCACCTTATATGTGGTAGCAACAGGAAGATTTTGTCCTTTATTTTGGAGGTATGAGGTCAAAAGTAACTCCATTCAACATGCATTTAGCAAGGTTGCTCGGAGCATTTCCTATGTGCTGGGCACTGGGCTAGGGCTAGAGGCAGAGATAAAACATCCAGAACCTATCCTTAAGTAGCTTACAAATCTAGCTGAGGAGACAAATATGTATGTAGAGCAACAATTAAGGATGGCTCAGAAATGGAGGTCTGTACTTGAGACTATGAGGCCAGAAAAGGGACACAGATCCAGGCAGGGGAATTTGGGAAGACTTTCTGGAGAAGGGATGATTCCTTTATCTGACACTTACCTCACAAATAATTGTCCAAGAGAAGAAGGGAGGAAAGGGAATATTCCAAAAAAGAAAAAAGTAGCAGGGTGTACAAAAGGCCTCCAGTTCAGTGATGGAGTATGAGGCACTCTGCAAGCAGGTCTGCCCAGCGGCAGCACAGGGCTCCAGGGGTAGGCGTGGATGAGCCAGAGAGACAGGAATCATGGAAAGTCTTGTTGAGGAATTTGGACTTTACCCTAACAGCCTTAATTTTTTTTTTTTTTTTTTTTTTTTTTTTTTTTTTTTTTTTTTTTTTTTTTTTTTTTTTTTTTTTNTTTTTTTTGAGACGGAGTTTCACTCTTGTCACCCAGGCTGGAGTGCAATGGTGCAATCTCGGCTCACAACAACTTCCGCCTCCCAGGTTCAAGCGATTCTCCTGCCTCTGCCTCCTAAAATGCTGGGATTACAGGTGTGAGCCACTGCACCTGGCCTAGCTTTAAACTATTTTAAGCAAAGGACCAATATAATTAAATTAGTCTTTTAGAAAGATTACTTGGGCAACAGTTTGGAGGCAGAATTGAAGGGACTCAGGCTACGGCAGGGAGAGGAGATTGGGGCTAACCCAATGATCCAGCAATAAGAGATATTATAAGAGACTGAAATGAAGAATGGGATGAGCCTGATTTAAGAGATATTTTGAAGGTAGAACTGACAGAGCATGGGAACTGACTTTACTGCAACTGGAAGGAATGTGAGATGACTCCAGGTTTCCAAGTTGTACACCTGGATGCGTGATGGTGGCATTTGCTGGGGTAAGCAACCTGGAGGACAAAGAATAGGCTTGACATGGAGTGAGATGATGAGCTTAGTTCAGGCCATGTTGTGATAGAAGTGGCTGGAAGGCATCCAAATAGGGGTATCCAAGAGGAATGTGGATATGTGTATATGGAGCTCACATGGGAAGGGGTGGGACCAGAGATGGGATCAGCAGCAATAAGAAACAGGAGGGCAGTGTAGTCTGCCTCTCACTCACCAAACACCTGTGTGACCACCGCTTTGCAAATGCAGTAAGTCCTCACTTAATGTCATCAATAGGTTCTTGGAAGCTTCGACTTCAAGTGAAATGTATAAAGAAGCGAGTTTTACCATTGGTTAATTGATATAAGCAAGAGTTAAGTTCCCACAGCATGTTTCTGGCTACAAAAACATCAACAAACTCCTAAATAAAGACCCAAAGTACTTGTAATAGTCAACATGGAATAAAAGGGAGCCACACATACATCTAAGAAAGATTAATATTGTTGGCAATAAAGGAGAAAAAAAAAAGAAAGATGAATAAAAACTAGTAAGATAATTATTTGCCCAATAATTCCAATACAGTGTCACGAGCCCCTAGAGCCCATCCAGGTAGGTAGTTCAGGGCACAAGGCGGGAACTGACCCTGGACAGGACGCTATCCATCACAGGGTGCACACACACACACCCGCACTCACGCAGACGGAGACAGTTCAGACCTGCAATGAACATAATATGCTCATCTTTAGATGCAGGAGGAAAAGGGAGGACCCAGAGAAAACTCACAGTTTTGGGGAGAGTTGAGCAGTTATGGGAAGAATTCACAAGCTCCACGCACAGTGGCTCCGGCCAGGAATTATTTTTTTCCTCATTAATGGTATAACAAAACAACATTGAACAAATGTTATTCAAAGACATGCTGTAATTCCTAGATACGCTGCTCCAAAAGCGCCTCAGGAGGACTGGATGATCCCACTTAATCGAAAGTAGTCAAATTCACAGAAACAGAGCACAAGCAGGTGCTTGCCAGGGTTTGTGAGGAGGAGGAAAGGGGTGTCATTTCATGGGTACAGAGTATCAGATTTGCAAGATGAAAAACTCCCGGAGATTTGTTTCACAACAAAGTGTACATTGCCGAAGTACACTTAACAGTGGTTAAAATGGTAATATTTGTTATATTTTGTTTTTAAGTTAATCAGAATAAAAGGTGGGAAGGGATTAATGAGGGAGGCCAGTAACCCTACCAGCTTCCTCTGGACAGTACCAGGATAAAATCTATTTCTCTTCTGTTGATGGAACTCTCACTCATTGTTGGTGAGGAGGTAAGTTAGGGCAGACATTTTAGAATGGACAGTGTGAATCAAGAGCCTTAAAAATGTTCACACCCAGCTGGGCGTGGTGGCTCACACCTGTAATCCCAGCACTTTGGAAGGCCGAGGTGGATGGATCACCTGAGGTCAAGAGTTTGAGACCAGCCTGGCCAACATGGTGAAATCCGTCTCGACTGAAAATACAAAAATTAGCTGGTCATAATGATGCCTGTAGTCCCAGCTACTCGGGAGACTGAGGCAGGAGAATCGCTTGAACCTGGGAGGCTTTGAAAGTTTCGGTGAGCCGAGATCATAACACTGCATTCCAGCCTGGGTGACAGAAGGACACTGTCTCAAAAACAAAACAAAAAAAAATGTTCACACCCTTTACCTAGATATTCCATTGACTAAAATGGACCCTAAATAACACGCCAAAAATACTCGGGGAAAAT